GCGAGCACCACCGGCACCGGAGCAAAGGCAGACATACTATCTGCCTCATCACGGAGTACTGAGGCCAGACAGCACCACCACAAAATTGAGAGTGGTGTTTGATGCATCTCATCGAAGCTCATCAGGAGTGCCATACTTCATCCAGAACCGGAACTACAAATTGACAGCTCTGACGTATTCATCTGGCTGCATCGACATGGTTTGGTATTTGGAACGGATATTGTGAAAATGTTTCGCCAAATCGATGACTGGGACTATCAACGAATCTTTTGGAAAGACAACGACGGTTAACTCATCGAATACCAACTGACGACAGTCACTTACGGTACCAGCTGCGCACCTTGGCTTTCTCTACGTGTGCTGAAGCAGTTGGCCATCGATGAAGGTCACCGATTTCCTTTGGCCTTACCGACATTCATCAAGAGAAGATATGTCGACGACATATACGAAGGTGCACAAACAGAACATCAACTGGAAGAAATCATCAAGCAACTCATCGATCTCTGCATGGCGGACGGCATGCAGAAGTGGTGCTGTAAAGTACCAAAAGTACTGGAACGACTCGAATTATCATCAGGATCAGCTCCAATCATCGAATTCGAGGAATCAACAGTGAAAGTGTGGGGACTTTGCTCGCAAGCCAATTCTGACACTTTTCACTACAAGGCAAAGAACTTCAACGGGGACACCATCACCTTGCGCGTAATTTTGTCCCAAATTACACAAATCTACGATCCACTGGGACTCATCGCGCTGGTCATCATCACGGCAAAGATACTCATCCAGGAATTATGGCTGCTCAAACTTAACCGGAACGATCCACTTCCAGAGGACTACAAGGGTCGCTGGAAATCATTCAGAGAGCAGCTTCAACATTTGAGCAGTCTCACAATACTACGGTGGCTTCATCTCACGCCCAATACAACGGAAATTCACCTTCACGGATTTGCGGACGCATCAAACTTGGCGATGGGCGCATCGGTTTATCTTCGAACATCATCAAAGACAACGGGAACGACTGTCACTCTAGTTTGTGCCAAGACTAAAGTGGCGACACTCAAAAAACAAACCGTACCACGACTGGAATTGATGGCAGCGGTTATGGTCACTGATCTCGTGTCTTACGTCAAACGTATACTGGACCTGGACAACCTCGAGATCCACTTATGGAGCAACTCATTGGTAGCCATCACATGGATCAACGGGGAAGCATCTCGATGAAAGATTTCATGCAGAACAGAGTTCTTAAAATACGGGATACTCTGCCTTCTGCAACATGGAGACATATCAGTGGAAAGAAGAATCCAGCGGACTGCGCATCAAGGGGTCTCTCACCAAAACAACTGGCGGAGCACCATCTATGGTGGACAGGACCACGATGGTTTGTCCTGTCATCAGACAATTGGCTAGCATCATCTATGGACTTAGCATCAACAACGGAAGTATGATCAGAGGCGGCTAAAGAAGCAAAACCGCCTATTATTAGCTCACATCCAGTGCAAATCGCTGAGAGAGATGCACTGATCATCAGATACTCATCACTAACAAAGCTTTTGCGGATTACAGCCTGGGTAAATCGAGCCACTAAGCGCTTCCAAGGGCAGCAACTACCGGATTCTCCACAACTGGAACCACAAGAACTCGAAAATGCGAGGCTGTATTGGGTGAGGCACACTCAACAGCTATACTTCGAGGCGGAAATCAATCAACTGAAAACGAGAAACTCACTGGCAGCAAATCATCGTATGGCAATGCTGACGCCATATTCGGACAACGACGTCATGCGCATGGGCGGACGTCTACGAAAA